CATCCACCCACCCACCCATCCATCCATCCATCCATCCATCCATCCATCCATCCATCCAACCAACCATCCTTTCCTCTTTGTAAATTAATTTTATTCTTAATTAAGTTGGACAATCACTCAGTCATTCATTTTTATTTTCTTATTTCTTTACAGGAGAAGCAGCTCATTTAGCAGCTGATTTTGATTTCGTCTGTGAATCGGAATTTCCAGCAAGTCAACTAGCAGAGTATCAGTACCGACAACATTCTGATCCAGCTGAACAACAATCTAGAAAAAATGCCCTTGTAACAGCAAAGTAAGTAACGATAATAATAATAATAGTAATTTGATCACTTATTGTGCGCGCATTCCATACAATGATCATGCGCGCATTACAATAATAATATATGTAACTATATAACTATTAAAGAAATAGAAAACGCGCGCGCGTGTTGTGTGCAGTTATAAAGCACGCGGGGGTTGGTAGAACACGAGAGAAGTGTTAGGAGAAGCACGAGGAGTGTTCTGCCAATTCCCAAGTGCTTTATGACTGCACACAGCACAGCAAGCAAGTTTTTTATTTTTTTCATAAAATACAAATTACAGGAATGACGAAACTGAAAGTGCGCGGGCGTGCTGTGTGCTTTCATAAAGCACGCGCTCCCAACCAATCAGAACGCGAGATTTAGAGCAGTTATTTTATAATACCCTGGAAAACTAGTTCAATGTTGTGTAAAGTATTAGAACTTTAACTCAGATTATTAGAACATTTTTTGTATTGGTTCTTTGATCAGTTTTTCTTTAACTGTTCTTGTTCTTGTTCTTTAAATTTCTTTTGTTGGTTGCATGATATGCAAAAAAAAAAAAAAAAAAAAAAAAAACTTTCACGAACTTTCGACTACTTTTCTTTAACTTTTGGGGGTATTTTCAAGAATAAATATGCTTCAACTTGCTTCTGCCACATATAGTTCCGTGCCTTCATTCACTGCTTACATATACACGGAGCCCATCATTTTGTTTTTTAGACACCACCCCGCAATACGTAGCCCAGAACCAAGTAATACTGTGTTGCATGCTTTCCATTTGCTATGGTTTTTGAATGAGTAAATTCCGAATAAATCTGACTAGTCCTTACCTGTTGTCCAAAGAATGTTTCCCTACACTGCTGAGGATATTTGATACTATGCTCCCAATGCAAGTGTCTTACATGTTTTTCGGCCTTAATTTAATCAAGATGGGCAGTAATTAATATCACTTGGATATTTTTGTAGACACATTCCTCAAAATTGTTTTCGGGGATGATTCGTTTAATTAATAGATCTCTCACGGGAAGAATGGCTACATGTCTTTTTAAATGCAATACATATTTAGAAAGTTAAGGTCAGCTCAAACACTCTTTTGCTGAAGTCCATGTGCTATATACATTTGACATGTACTTCCAAAGGGGCTGGATCCGAGAGAAAACATGTCCCTTCCCAGTAAGCCTTTGAGCGCGCCGCTCTTACAAAATTTACCACAGGGAGCCCTGGCTATTGCTAAGATTATTAACTTTGATGAAAATGATATTGAATACAAGGCTAAAAGTAAAATATTTAAGGAATGGCTACAAAATTCGTCAAGAAAAAGTGTGATTTCACCTTTATTTGAATATTTGTTAACCTAGCGTCCAAGATAATTTTTAAAGGAGATCTCTTATTTACTCTTTATGATCAGAAAAAAAGGAAACGCGATTGATTAACTTGAAGTTATCTTCCTTTTATTTCGTCAGACAACTAACAAAAGAACTCCAAGATATACTCGCACAAGACCCATATCCAAAACTACGTTTACCTAACAGCACACTACCGGAGTCCACCCTTCGTAGTCTACACACCTTTGGTCTGGTTACCCATGGGTTCGGCTCGCCGTCGATCAACGCAGCTATGAATGCCTTTCAAGCTTATTTGACAGAACTGTTGAAATTTCACGAGGGGAATGGGGGCAGTGGGGGTGGTGGGTCTAGAAATAATAGCATAGTTAAGAATGGAGAAACATAATAACCTATTGTAAGATATCTATGGTTGAAATTCGTCTTTCTATTTAAGTGCATAGCCAAATTGGTTTCGTTCTTGAGCCTGCGTTCCTAATGGTCTGCGCTATGAAATACCGTTTTCTGATTGGATGATAGTAATACAACCACGTCGAGTCTTTCTGATTCGTTCACTAATATACTTACTAATGTAACTGTTTTTTGATTGGCTGCTAAAACATTGGGTAGTGAATTCTGACTGGTGGATACATCATCTTCTCCTGATTGGCCAAAATGATATGACCACCTTTTTTCTGATTAGATAACTCAATACAGCTGATTTTATTTGATTGGCATAAACATATTGGCATCAAAGCGATCCTGATTGGCTAATACGGCATTTCTCTTAATCCTGATTGGCCAATAGAATATACCAACTTTTTCTGATTGGTAATAATATGAATACGACATTGAAAACTAACCAATTGGAATTAGAAACTACTGGTTCAGTTCAGTATGCACATTTTTCATTCCATGCAAAGACTAATAGGAACAAGGCTATGGAGACGAAAATGGCATCTAGGATGCGTGGCGCATGCGCAGTCAAGGAAATAGTTTAATGACGTCATACCTGTCGAGGAATGATAGAATTACTAAGGCGAGATTCTATCAGATAGGTAAAGAAACTAAGCAAAATGGTGTTAAGAACCATCATCACATCTACTACTTCATGATATTGAGGCAAAATACTAAAAAAAATATATCGTCATAAAAAAGCTACTGTTTACAACTGCAATACACTGAACAGATTTAGCCAGATTTAATTCTTTTTAATCAGTTATATATCGTTATATAATTGACTTATAAATCCTCTAATTAATAAGTTGTATTTTATTAGCATTTCGAGTTACAAGTAATTAATGTGAAAGACTTTTATCTTGGAAAATAGACCCATTGCAACGTCGGAATGCAGCTCAATTTGGAGGACATAGGTTTCTAATTCTCAGGAGATTGAAATTCTTTTGTATTGCCCTCCAAATAGAGCTGCTTTGACGTTGAATGCAAGGGGTCTATTCCTTACACCCGATTGGCTGTATTCATTCCTAAAAAATGAAATTTTCAGGAATAATCTTAAGAATTATTCTAACTTACAGTAACATCCTTGACTGCATGATTAATGGCCACGAATTTTAAGGAAAGAAAAACCTGTCTATTTATGCACTTTAGTTACGTATAACATTTCTACTGTCACTATCAGTAGGCCACGTCTTAAAACTTGCGCTGTGAGATTTTCACGACAGACTAGGAGAATATTCCCAGTGATAGAAAACAGTGTCTATATCTTTCCTGAGCTTAAATGCTAGTTCTACCAATGACGGCGGTGATTTTCGGTTTATATGTACCTGTCATAGCTGCCATGTTTAATCTTCGATCTGTTTGTCATTCAACATGTGATGCTATCGCCGCCAGATTTTTGTTTACTGCAGCAAACGTTTGTCCTTTTGTGTGTGTTTTTCCTTCATTCTCTTAGAATTAAGTTGAAACACGAATCGCTTGCGCTTTACATGGATATTAATATTTCAAATATTTCAAGATTTGAGAAATCTTATGGGTTTTTTTTTCCCGAAGTGAAAAAGAAAACGGAACTGAGAGGGAAACTAAACCCAAAAAAAGCAGCAGATAAATCGAGAAAAAAAGTAATATGACAAAAGACAAAGAAAGAGTTAGAAACGTAGTCTAACAGTGCGATCGTCACGTGTAACATCACGTAAAGGCGTGTCTGGACTTCAAAATATACCACTTGCGTCTTCCTGTCCATTCCGGTCCCCAAGGGACTACATCATCATACACAGATACAAAACAAATATCATCAATGTAACAATAGCCATATCCTACAATACCACACCAATGGAAATAAATGTAAACTAGCCTGAAGATATATTGTCTATAAATATATATTCAATTGAGAAATATATTAAGGAAAAACAAATATTTAGACTGAAATGTCATTAAGGTAATTGGAAATCTTTTATTAGGCAATTGTGATTTCTTTCAATTAAAAACTCAACACAAAACTACAGAATTTAATGATTTTCAACCGGGGCTGTAATTAGAGGGTTAAACTATTTCCTTCTCTGGTGGAGAAATGCCAAGACATACAAAGAGTGTCGCTGTTTATCCAATCCTAAAGATGTTGGTAATACTTATCTAGACTTGATTGACAGTGCAAGAGCAAAGATCTTGTGAAAAAAAGAATTTTCACAGAAAGTTATGCCGCACCACGCAAGGTAGGTTCTCCTGAGAGGGCAAAAGAAAGGAAATTATTTCATTATCTAATAGTTAGCCCATAACAACCTCATATTAACAATATAGCCAATGGTTTTGATCGATTTTGGGTGTTTTTCACACCTTTTT